CAACTTGTTAATTTACATATGTCCACTACTCATGGAAAAGAGGTGGTCACAATGGCACGTGAGCAATAACCTCTTTCTGAACGCTCAGCACCACAAATACCCAGGGAACAACTCTGCTGACTCTAGGCAAACAGAAAGCAAACTCTCCTGCTGCATGCCACACCTCCCTCACAGAAACAGCATCAACAAAACAAAACTCCACAACACAGCATTCCCACCAAGGCTAAAAACTTGCCTGCACTCTAAGGAAGAGAATTTGTAAGGCCGAGGGTATGTCTACACTGCAAATCCAGAGGTGTAACTGCAGCACATGTAGACATAACTGAGCCAACTTTGATCTAAGCTAGTTCAAGTAACAGTTGCAGGGAAGCTGAGGTAGCACAGGATGCAGCTGCTCGAACATGTATCCAGGGTCCCTTGGGGAGGCAGAGCTAATCTGAGCAGCTGTGGCTTCACTGCTATTGTTATTTGAGCTAGCTTTGATCCAGCTAGACTGCAGTGCAGACATAGCATAGTTACACACAGGGTATCTGGTGAACACTGTCATAACATTTGTTTCTAAAGTTTCTCAAACTTCAATCGTGCTACTGAGACAGCCACCAAAGGAGCTAATTATGCTGCTTAGATATACATATACTCCTTATGGGCACCTGAGTCCAACAATAGCACCACCACAGTTAGGAAATGGGTGGGGGGGGGGGGGGGTGGGGTTTTCCCCACAGGGAGGCAGGTCCCAGGGGCTGGGGTGTCAACACGGGGGGTGGGGGGGGGGGGGAAGGGCTAGAGTGTCAACACTGAGGGTTGGAGGGGGAGGGAAGGAGCTAAGCACTTTGGGATATGTTTGCTTTGACTCAGGTTTGTGCACTGCTGTGTGGATGCCAGAGCCCTAGGTTCAAGCAAGGGCAGGGACACTGGAACACTTTTTGTAGTGGGGGTGCTGAAAGCCAGCTAAGGAAACTAAAGCAGTGGTCCCCAAACTTTTCATCTTGTGCCCCCCTTTATCCCTGTCTGTGCTCCCCATCCCTCCCTCCCCCCCGAGCTGTGGCTCAGGGAAGGGGTAAGGGGCTGAGGCTAGAGCCACAGCTGGGGGTAAGTGCTGGGCCGGCAGCCAGGACCCCAGGCGGGGTCAGGAGTGGAGCCCAGGGCATGGGCAGGGGGTGCGGCAGCACCCTGCACACCTAGTTCCCGCACCTATGAGCATGGGTCAGAAAATGCTTAACCTAGGGTTCAAATGCAGTGTAGATGCTCACGCCCAGGGTTCCCTGACACAGGTCAGCTGACTCCAGTCCCACTAACCTTGGCCTTACATTCCTGTGTAGTGTCCTTTTGGTCTTTGGGCTAAATTCAACTCTAGAATATGTGGACAGTTTTTTCCATTAAAGTAACTGGGAGTTGCACTCACTCACTAAGGACTGTTTGGCCCCTTGTCTTTCTTAACAGAAACAAAAGCCTCATCTATAAAACAAAATTGCACTGGTTAATTTAATTTTTTAAAGAAATTTAGTTAAGCCAGTGAAAACCCCTTTGTGGACTCTCTTATTTCAGTTTAAGAGTGCCTTATTTCAGTTTAACAAACTGTTTCCTAATCCATTTAAACAAGCCTGGTTTAAACTCAAGTAAGAGTGTCCATCCATTGTTCTGCATCAGTTTTGACTAATTTGGTTTAAAAGAAAAAAAAAGTCACACATTTAGTTAAATTGGTGCCACCTTCTCATGTAGACAAGCCCTGGGACAGTTTGAAGATGGGAGACATGGTTAGCACCAAGCTGCTCCCTCTTCCAGTTTTCACTACTTGGTTTTGAACTGATGTAAGTCTCTGAAGGCAGTACAGGAATATACTCAGCCTGAGGATCCATAGTTCCATCACTACCACCACTATTGTGGCTACTTTTGCTATTTTTCAGCTACATGGTTTCTCCCAGCTATCCCACAATGCTGAAAGATATACATTCTAAATACATGTTAAACATGCAAGATTGTATTACCCTTTGCAGTGTACAGCTACTAGGGGGTAATTTTTAAATGTTCATTCTCCCATAGTGTTATTTCATCTCTGTTATTTGTCTTTGGAGTTTAACTGTCATATCCTCTTCCACTGTACTTCAGGGAGTGCTTCAGAAAGATACCTCCAAAAGTATAAACATTAGGGATGAAATCCCCGCCCCAGTGAAGTCATTAACAAAACTCCAGTGGAGTCAGGATTTCACCCTAAAAGCCTAAGTTTTGGTATGAGAGTAGCAAACATGTTATATTGCTTACACTTTGGTAAACTTGTGTATTACTTAAACTCTGTGGGGATGGCAGAGGGAAGGGAAGGAGATGTAGCAAGAAAAACGACTAACAGGAGGGTGTAAGACAGTGAGTTACTTTTTCTTGCTGTAATATTGTCCTTTCATGCCCCACAGCATACAAGATCTCAATTTACTGAGATTTAATTTACACCACCATATAAATCACCTCTGTATTTGTCCCTATTTGTCAAAATAGACGGTAAGCTCTTTGGGGAGTAGACCATGTATTTGAGTATGTTTTTACTACATCTACTACAGTGGGGTACCACTCTTGCCTAAGGTCTATGGCACTACTACAATACAAAAGTTAATAAGCAGAATGGGGATTTTTCAAATCAAAATGTGGCCCAATAAAATGATCAAGTAACACTGTATTAAAATGGTTATGCATAAATTACATTACCTATTGGTACCACATGCAAATAGCATATTAGAAAATTATGTGTATTTATTACAAAATGAATGCAAAGACTTGCAAGAAAACGTGTCTATTTGTCTGTAGGAGATGTAAAGTAATGTAGCCAAGAGGCATGCAATATCACATGCTGAGAGGTAAGAGAACACACACAAATGGACAAATTCACTACTGCTAAAACTGTTGAAAACAGAAGAGTTACATCAGAAATGAAGCTAAGCCTTTGTGCAGGAGCTAGGATACTGTTTTGTTACAGCCAGCTCAATGGATGAACACTAGTAAATGCACAAAAGGGAATAATCCTGCATTGGCAGAGAGATGGACTAGATGACCTAATAGGTCTTTTTCATCTCTAACTTCTATCGTATGATTAGCCTCGGATTTAGTGCCACCATGGAAGGACACAAAGGAAAATGTTAACTTGCCTTTCAATCACTGAGCACAAAGTGTGCATGATTTAATACAATTCTTTTCAAAAAGTTCCCCCTTTCCCAATGAAACATTAACAGGAATTGAACAGCGTTTCTCTCATGTACAAATCTTGACTGATTTTATTATTTAGCCCCTATAGCTCTTACTGACCTCAGAGCTGTGGGGAGTCAGTATTTTTGAAGCACTTTGCGATTCCTTTAATATTTCTATACTGACTTGCATAAAGGGACACAATCAATTTGTTACATTTCACAATGAACTTTTTACCTACTATTTTTGCAAGAAACCTCTGAGATTTCTAAAATTGAGAAAGATTTGAGGGGAAAATATTTCCCTCTCTTTTTTCTTTGCTTGTGCTGTACATTTGATAGCCCTGTGTGTACAGTTTCCACTGTTTTCCCTGAATTTCCCCTGTTTGCATGGGTCTTTCACACAGCAACAAAGAAGATAAAAACCAGTTCAAAATATAGGAAAGTGTAATGGTAAAGATTTGGCAGGGGGACTCAAGGATTAAAACTATTAATGTTATTACTGTAGTTTCTCTCCTGGACCCCAGCACCTTTCAAGTCCAAGTATTCTGGTAGCACTTACAACTGTTCAATGCATCTTTCTCTCTCCTTCACCACTTCTAATCACCTTTCTCCACTACTGACATTTTATGGAAGTTTATCTTTGATCCAACTTCCCTCCAGGACTAACAAGCTCTTGAAATAATCTCCAGCAATGACACTTATCGTGTGTTAACCGTCTCTCTTTTATGGGCCAAGCACTGCTGGATTCGTTTGTGCCAGCACCAGCAGAGTAAGGTTGGGGAGGCAGCAGTCAGGCATGCCCGGTTATAAAACACATGGTATTGCCTAAAGTATATGGTTTGGATCTGTCCCGGAGTAACATAACACCACACATCACTCCTGTCTCGGGGCGATTTATTTTAGGCTGGTGCTTTGACAGGCTAGGCACAGAATAAAAGCACGGCTAGTGGGTTTCCCAGTTGCCCTAACAAAGCAGATCATGTTGTTCGTTGACCGAAATGCCAAATGTTTTTGCTCACCGGGAAAGAAGCTCTAGTCCCAGCAACATTTTGAAATGCCATCGACTCGCTGCGTGCCTACAGGAGCTTTCCAAAGCATGTGCCCAGGGATTAACCCTGCCTGGCCCGGGCGTGCACCGCACGAGGCAGTGCCAGTGAAACTGTCAAATGCCAGGGGAAAGCCGGGGTCAGCTTGTGCCACGGGAACGCTCCTTTCCCCGGTGGCTGGGGCGGGACACGAGATCCCTCGGCAGCACCACCCCGGGGCACGCTCCGAATGGAGGCCGTTTAGCTCTGTGGAGGGAGGGAGCCCCTGGACCACGCACAGTCACATCCCAGGGAACCCCTCGCTCTCCAGAGGGAGGCTGTCAGCGGGGGACACTTCGGGTGCAGCTGTTCGCCCCGCGCACCAGCCCCCGGCCATCGCCCAGCCCCCCTGGCCGCAGCCCTCCCTCTTGCTCTGACCCCCCCCCCCCCCCAGCTGTGGCTGCGCATCCCCTCCCCTTGGAGGTCAGACTCCAGCGGCATAGTGGGGCCGGCTCACACGGGCAGGCGCCTGCCAACCTCACCCGTGCCTGGTGCCCTTCTCCTGCCCTCTGCCCGTGCCCAGGTCCCAGCCACAGCCCAACCAGGCTCCTGTCGCCGACAGGCAACCGCCTACCCGCAACTTTCTTCTTCAGTTTAGCTACTGGTGCAGAACAGCGACACCTCCCCTTTTCCCCCAGGAGATCGGCGCGGGTTGCTGCTTTGTGTGCCTGGGAGCTGCCAGCCACCTGGACACGGCGCGGCTGCTGCAGCGGGGCGCTTAACTGCATCCCTGGTTCCTCGCACCATGAACCTGCCGGTGACTCCCACTGGCCGGAGAGCTGCTCTTCTGCCGCTTTGTCTGCTCTTCCTAAAGACCTGGGTGCTAGTGCACAGCTACCTCTACAACAACCGCTATGCCGGGTAAGTCCGCTTCTAGCTCTCCTTGCACTACTCACACCTCCTGTTTGCACTGGGATTGATGAGCTCCTGGACTTGTCCTTAAGGGTTAGGGTGGTCGGTTAAACACCCCTACTTACTAAAAACAACCACCACCCACAAAATACTCAGATCGCCTTTTTCTTTCTCCTCTAAGATCTAGCCATGCTAGGGGTAGGAATCTGGCTATTCCTCCCGCCCGTATTAACTTTTTGGCTTACACTAGATCTTAAATTCATTATGCTCTAGTTCTCTTTTTGGTAACAAACACACACACTTAAATATGAAGGATGCTACCTCCAAAGCAGTAGCATTGCACGAATATGACCAGTCTATTTAGAAACAAGAACTTTCCTTTTACACAGAGGATTTAAAAAAAAAAAAAAAAAAAAAAAGGAGGCTGCATTTTATTCTAAACCAATGGAAGTTTGCATTTCTTGTACAAGTGAATATACATGTTTTCTGAAACTCACTGAAATGGTTAAGAGAAAGTTAAATCTTACTGAATGAAAAAAAAAAGTCTCAAATCCAAAACATCCAGGGAAAGTGATTAATTTTGCTGTTAACAAATTTTGGTCATTTTTTACATTTAATATTAGACCTTTGCTCATTTAAGAGTAATCTCTGTGTTAGAAAGGAACAGTACAGTCTACATATCAATGAAAGACTAACACCATTGGGCCCTGGGTGTTCTTACTATGCTAGCCTTTTGAGTAAGGGCCTATCTACACAGCTAGATACACTTGTTGTAGAATAGATCTTTATTCAGTATTTAACCAAAATAATGTTATCATCAATAGATGTGGTAACATCATCCATTAATTTCTAACCAAAGATAGGGTGATTGCTAAACATAGGAACCACTAGAAGCAAAATGGTGTATTTTCCCACAGACAGTATAAAATTCATTAAAACTGATCTGCAAATTTCTCAATCAGCACAAGTAACCCTGGAATTAAGAACTGTATTACACTTTTATTTTATTAAAACAGTCAGACTAGGCACATTAATTCCATTGCTGAAACCACATTCACTGAAGTTTAAAAGCCATACCCTAGGCTCCAGGGAATGGCTGGCTATGGGAACTGGTAACGTGATATGAAGCCTTTCACCTCTAGGTCACCAGTAGTGACAGAAAGTACTTAACATGTGACAGCTGTTTTGCCGTCTCAGGCCAATTGTCCCTGGGGTACAGGCACCAAAAAACAAGCACTCTTGTTGGCAGTATCAGAGAGGGATAGAAAGGGAGACGGAATTCCCCTCTGAAACCAGGATCCTACAATAAGCTATGTGTGGTTGCCAGGTTCCACCCACATAGAGCTCATTGAAGGATTTATGGCTCTCTGTGGCCGCAGCCACAGAGGTGATTGTCTTTACATTATGGCCGTACTGCATTTGTTTGAAGATAACTAGGGAGGAGTTCAGTTTCCCAGTACTGTGAATCTGACACCTTTCATGAGCACCAGTTGTATACATTATAATATATTGAAAATGTCTGTCTATATCTTCTAGGCTTAAATGAGACAGTCAAGTTGAAACTTAGTCAATTAAAAGAGAAAGTTGTAGTTTCAGGTACTATTAGGCTTGGCAAGCCAGTTAATTGATAAGTCAAATAATGTCAATTAACTGCCTATTATTGCTTTATCATAATCAAATATTGTCAGATATTCCAGAGAGAATGCCCTCATGTAGGCGGTGCGCCTTTCTGAGTACATCATGGCACCATTCTTTCATTTTTTAGAACTCCAAAAAATGTGAAACACAATAAAATGGAGTTAACTGAATTATTTTAAGTAAGTTGTGTTTTTCAGTTAGGCATAAGTATCTGCCTAAGGCTAAGCCTATTGAAGACCACAAGTCTTATTGATGTTATTGTTCAAATAAATTGGTGCTTTAAAACTATTGACCATTTTTACATTACTTGATGAATATTTGACTGGTCAGTTAACCAAATATTTTTGGAATGGTGAGATGCCCAACCCTAGGTATTATATCTGACCCTAACTCCCTCTGCTAATTGTTGTGGTTTCACAAGCACATTTTCTTAAGTGTTTCTTTGTTTGTTTTTTTACTTTTTCTCCTGTTGCTTTCTGAAAGATCCACACAAACAACTATCTGCATCATATAGCCCCTATCCTGCAAACTACTTCACACAGTGAGACCCAGGAATATGGTGCTTCATACAGAAGTCAGCCCAATACTGATAAGCTTACAGGATCTGGGTGTACGCAACAAACACAGTGAAATTTACTAGTCAAAGTGCTGTCAAATGCACAGAGCAAACAAACTAGAAAAATATTTTCCCCTCTACTTTCATTTATACTAGCCTTAGGTGTTACTTGTGACAATAGTAAGTTTAAAAAAAAAAAATCAGACAAATATGATTTTTCAAATTGAAGAGATCCCTTTAAGGTGCCAGGTATCTCTTGCACTTCTGAAGCCTCTCTCAACAAGTCTTGGTCCTGGGCAGAATTGCTTTATTTCACTGATCCTTTCTGTACTCCAGATTATAAACAACTATACAGAATTGCAACAATTGAGCAGGTGTGACTATCATTACTGAACTTGTTGGCAGCCAGAGAAAACAAGAGGCCAGGGATTAGTGATGTGCTCTTAAGAACAACAATCAAGAAAGGGACACAGTTTTTCTCTGATCACTGTAAAAAGGGATGCTGCCACCCCCAACCCCTCACTTTCTTTTAAAAGAAATTTATCAATCTAAAGTATTCAGGTACCTATAGTATCCTGTCATCATTGCAGTATCTAGGTGATAGGCACAGCTTTAAATGTAACAAATCCGTAATTGGGGCTTGAGGATAAAAACCCTCTTTTTAAAAATAAAAAGACTTAGTTTGAGGCAGGAGCACTGGTGCTACTCTGGGGATGGCTGTAGCAGAACTCAAAGCAGCAGCGTTAACAGGCAGGAAGGCAATTGTAGATGTTCAGGTGGGACTCTGACCTATAGCTGCTGATATTCTCATGTGCTCCTTTTCCTAACACTTTCAAAGGTGTCAGGGGAAACAGACAGGGAGGGAACAGAATGGAGTTGCAGACAGGTGTAGGAGAGGAGCAGCTGTTGCTGCCAAAGAACAGAAGGACTTTCTAATAGCCACTGCCACTTGGGAAAATAATCAGCTCCTATCCGTGGGTCAAGACCTGTTAAGTCAAAGGTACATCCCACTTCCTCTGCAAAAAAATCAGTTCACTATCTTTCCTAGTTCAGCTCTATTCCCTCCACTTGCTACATAGCATTTCTGCAAATTCCCCCTCCTCCTGCAGCAGCTGCGACACTACCTTTCCAACCCATCATGCTGCTCTGAGGAGTTCTGCTACAGTTATTTCCAGAAGAGTGCCAGCAATCCTGCCTCAAACCACCCAATGGAGGCATGGGCTGAAAAACTGAGGAAACTCATCCATCAACTAAAGCATTTGGCGGTTTTAACCCCAATTTGCAACTGGGGTGTTGGGTGTTATAACTAGAGTTCATTAATTTCAATAGACGTGCGAGGCCCAGAAAGAGTGACAATCACACATACCAGTTGCATTGCAACTGATAATTGCCAATTTTCTTGGCTAGCTACATGACATATGTTCTCAGACTCATAAGTAATTAGGTACCTACAGAGTCTAAAAATGATGCTGAGGCAGACAACAGGTAGGAGAACTTGAAAAGAAAGAGAAGAACTCTTTAAAACCAAAAATATGACATGCATAGACATGGCTATAGTGCATCACATTCCATGAAGTTTGCTTATTTCAGACTGGTGTTATTAATTATTCCAGGTATGCATAACCATGTCTTGTAGATGAACAGCAGCTAGCAAAATTAGGAACATTAAGTCAAAGTTCAGATAGTTTAATGAGTATTACATTTATATACTATGGTATAGTGCCTCTATTCTCACGGTGCTTTACACACAATGGCTTGGGGATTCCTCCCTCTTATGAAAAAAGGCATGAGAGGAGATCCTGTTGTCGAAGGTGGGAGGGGAAGCATACAATTCCCTTTGTGGCATTTTTTCCACATTTTGTAATTTGAGGGCAAACGGAAGTGTAGGGTGGTTTGTTTTGTTATGTTTAAAACAAAACAAAAGAAGTCACAGTGGCTGAGTTATGTCCCAAATAACCATGTTTACCAGCTATACACAAACATACAAGCTACATACTGTGACAGACCCAGACCAGTGGGGTACAGGAGTCTGGTAGAGGGCAAATATACTGATCACTGGATGAGTAGTTTTCTGTTCCCTGAGTGACCAGAACAGGGGCTGCATTAGAGTAATCAGGAACCTGCTAGAACCAGTTAAGGCAGGCAGGCTAATTAGGACACTTGGAGCAAATTAAGAAGAAGCTGCTAGAATCAATTAAGCCAGGCTAATCAGGGCACCTGGGTTTTAAAAAGGAGCTCACTTCAGTTTGTGGTGGGAGTGTGAGGAGCTGAGAGTGACAGGGTGTGCTGCTGGAGGACTGAGGAGCACAAGTGTTATCAGACACCAGGAGGAAGGTCCTGTGGTGAGAATAAGGAAGGTGTTTGAAGGAGGCCATGGGGAAGTAGCCCAGGGAGTTGTAGCTGTCATGCAGCTGTTACAGGAGGCACTATAGACAGCTGCAGTCCACAGGGCCCTGGGCTGGAACCCGGAGTAGAGGGTGGGCCTGGGTTCCCCCCAAACCTCCCAATTGACCTGGACTGTGGGTTCTCCCAGAGGGGAAGGTCTCTGGGCTGTTCCCCAACCCACATGGTGAACCTCTGAGGCAAGAAAATCCACGAATAAGCACAGAACCCACCAAGATAGAGGAGGAACTTTGTCACAATACATACTGTGGTTTTGGCAACTTCTAAATCATGGAACACTGTGAGCACAACTAGAGGGCTTGCACTGTACTTAAAGCATCCCCTTCTAGAAATCTGGCCTCAAAACCCACTGATTTCTGAGATCAGCCTGGATCTCTGGGATCCACAATGGTTCTGGGAGCTCTAGGCCACT